TTTTCACTGAATGTTTATATAGGCATTTTATATATTTTATATAATTTTCAAAATATTTAGATTTGTTTTGAGCTGTTTTGACCCAAAATTTGATTCGCACCTGGGCCCTTTTATCTCTAGTTGCGGCACTGAACACATCGGTAATTTTTACAAATGAAAAAAGCAATAATATCCCTGTAATATATAATATGTCAAATAGTATTGATAATAAGGATTACGTTACTTTTTGGAAAGTATAATTATCTAAAATTCCTAATCATAACTTAAAATAATTAATAACATTTAGATAACAATGATAAAAATAATATTCATACTTCATAGTCATAATACAGATATTATCTTCTGATTCGTAATCAAATGGTTATAATAAGCGTCAAGCGATATTGGGATAATAATGTGCAAATTCGACAATATACGTATATAACATCTTGGACCAAGATAGATACCTAATTCTCAAATTGTCACTTGCTCAAGTCTAAAAGTTACTAGTTAATTAGAAAATAAAATTAACTTAAATTAGTTAGTTATTTTTTTTCATATAAAATTGACAATTTGACCTTTTTTAACAAATTAAATAAACTTGACTTAAACAAATAACATAGTAATTCGATAAAATTAATTACTGTAGGTACCTACTTTTATTAATAACGAAATTCAACAAAATAATTTAATTATTTTTTTGTATTTGTTTACGTAATGATCCACAACTATACTAAATATTATTATAATAAAATTCATTACCTATTATGACGATAAATAATTGGTTACACAGTTCTCAACTCCGCATAAAACAATATAAAAACATGAATACAAGATTGTGGAAAATAACCATCGACAACACGTAACACAGTCGTCAAATGATTTATTTATGACTTTGTGGCCCCTATTAAAATCTATACGTAATACCATTGGTATACATTAAAATCAATGATAGTACATACAGTCTTTACGAGAAGATTACAATTTTTGTTTTCTGTTCTTTACCACCAGGATTTATCAGATGGCTTATTTAAAAATAAAATTTAACTCGCGTCCCGTAGTGTTGTTAAATAGCTAATTCATTTACTTAATTAACAAGGTAAATCAAGTAAATAGTAATCACGATGAACAATACGCTACAACGAGTTTGCATTATATTTGTACCGACTAGCCAAGTTATCGATGTAAATCCATGAATGAATAAAAATAAAAATAAATAACTAATAATTATAATGATTAGGTGATGAACTAATGGCTTTTTTTTCGCATTGTACCTACCGAGGATCGGAGAAGGTGAACTAATGACTATAATTACAATGAACAAGTGTTTGAGATGTAGAAATTAAAAATTAATAGTTATATTTTTATTTTATCAGATACGCTGATTCAATAATATTTCTGCTTATAATATAAATATATAGTATAACCTGTGAGTATGCAATATAATAACTATTATTATAAATTAATATATTTAGAGTTATTATTACTATTAGGTATATATTTATATACACAAAATTGAATATATTTTTTATTTTTTATTTAGGAATAAAATTAACTTAACGTGACAATAAAATAAATGAACTCATAAGTTACTGAATAAAATTTAAAAAAATATAACTCGTTAAGTTAATTCTTGCTTCTAAAAAAAAGTAACTTATCATTTAACTTGGTTAAAAGTAACAAGTAACTTAACAGTAACTTTTTAACTCGTTAATGCCCAGTCTTGGCAAGTGGTATATTTATATATCGTCTCGATTATTTAAATGGTTTTCTAAAACATCTAGATAGATTAATGTTACTGTTTTTTTAGTTTGTAGTGTTTGTACGATGTTATTAAAATATTATATCATGATTATAAAACAATTTAATAAATCATTATTAAATACAAACGTAAGTCAATAAAATATTTCAAAATTGGATGGTATTCGCTCAAGCAAATATATTGTGGCAGTAAAATTTATTTGTTATTAATAAGATTATTAAAATTGGAATGTAGCAACCACCGTCCACCAATCTAAAATAACAATAATAACATCAAATAAAGTATGTGTTTAAAAATTGCATTTAAAAATTTGAACAAAGCAATGATTATATTAATTTTACAAAGATATTTTTTTTAAATTTTTTTTTTTTTTGTGTGTGTTTGTTTTCACAATCAAATTCCATAAAGTCTTATAGCTTTTTTTTTAAAAAAAATAATTAAAAATTTAATTCAAGATTCCCAATAATTTTTTATAAGTGTAAATTAAAAAAGCTTAAACTTAAATTCATAGTATTTTTTTATAACCATCAGAAGTTCTATTTGACAAAATTACGATAATTTACGAATATTTTAGTGTCCGTGAAGTTAGTCACCTAACTTGTCCCACCACATTCATATTTGTTCATTCTTTAGTAAGTCATTAATAAGTATTTGTAAGCACAAAATCAGAATTTTTAAGTCAACAACTTTCGCATTATCCCTGAAAGTTTTCCAGCCGGTTATTTAAACTTTTTGTAATTTTTTTCACCACTGCATTAATAGTAATTTTAAGACCAAATTTAAAACTAGAAAACTGTCATTTTATTTTGCCTTTTGTATTTTCGAAATTCGTTTGTTATTCGTCATCATTCATATTGGTTTTTCTAAAAAATTTTGCAAACAGGATACAGGAATAAACGTGTTCTACTGACTGTAACTAGTTCCCAAAAAAAGGTGTTGAAAAATTTAAAAATGTCTTTATAATGCTATGGACTAGCGTCCCGCATTGCTTAGTTCACGGTCAACTAGGTAATAATTATGTAGACACCACCTGAGAGGGTATAACAATTCCGAGGGAGTGGCCATGGATTATTAAAATAATAAGAGACTACTAAAGGTAAAAGTTGGGCGTGGACACCAAATAACATTA